AGAATTGCTACTCCAGCATTCTTTTGATTTCCATTTGCATGGAATATCTTTTTCCATCCCCTCAATTTCCGTCTGTATGTGTCCCTAGGTCTGAAGTGGGTCTCTTGTAGATAGCCTATATGCGGGTCTTGTTTTCGTATCCATTCAGCCTGTCTATGTCTTTTTGTTGGAGCATTTAATCCTTTTACATTTAAGGTAGTTGCTGATATGTATGTTCCTATTACCATTTTCTTAATTGATTTGGGTTTGTTGTTGTAGGTCTTTTCCTTCTCTTGTGTTTCCTGCCTAGAGAAGTTCCTTTAGCATTTGTCGTAAAGCTGGTTTAGTGGTGCATAATTCTCTTAGCTTTCGCTTGCTTGTAAAATTAAAGGTTTTAATTTCTCCATCAAATCTGAATGAGATCCTTGCTGGGTAGAGTAGTCTTGGTTGCAGGTTTTTCTCCTTCATCACTTTCAACATGTCCTGCCAGTCCCTTATGGCTTGCAGGGTTTCTGCTGAAAGGTCAGCTGTTAACCTTATCGGAATTCCCTTGTATGTTATTTGCTGTTTTTCCCTTGCTGCTTTTAATATTTTTTCTTTGAATTTAATTTTTGACAGTTTGATTAATACGTGTCCTGGCATGTTTCTCCTTGGATTTATCCTGTATGGGACTCTCTGTTCTTCCTGGACTTGATTGTCTATTTACTTTCCATATTAAGGAAGTTTTCAACTACAATCTCTTCAAATATTTTCTCAGTCCCTTTCTTTTTCTCTTCTTCTTTTGTGACCCCTATAATTCAAATGTTTGTTTAATGTTTAATGTTGTCTCAGAGGTCTCTGAGCCTGTCCTCAATTCTTTTCATTCTTTTTTCTTTATTCTGCTCTGCAGTAGTTATTTCCACTATTTTATCTTCCAGGTCACTTCTCCATTCTTCTGCCTCAGTTATTCTGCTATTGATTCCTTCTAGAGAATTTTTAATTTCATCTATTGTGCTGTTCATCATTGTTTGTTTGCACTTTAGTTCTTTTAGGTCCTTGTTAAACGTTTCTTGCATTTTCTCCATTCTATTACCAAGATTTTGGATCATCTTTACTGCCATTACTCTGCATCCTTTTTCAGGTAGACTGCCTATTTCCTCTTCGTTTGGCCTAGTTGGCTTTTACTTGGCTCCTTCATCTGCCGCATATTTCTCTGTCTTCTCATTTTGCTTAATTTACTGTTTTGGGGTCTCCTTTTTGCAGGCTGCAGGTTCGTAGTTCCTGTTGTCTTTGGTTTCTGCCCCTAGTGGCTGTGGTTAGTTCAGTGGATTTTGTAACCTTCCCTGGTGGAGGGGACTGGTGCCTGTGTTCTGGTGGATGAGGCTGGATCTTGTCTTTCTGGTGGGCAGGACCGCAGCCGGTGGTGTGTTTTCAGTTGTCTGTGAACTTAGCATGATTTTAGGCAGCCTCTCTGCTAATGGGTGGGGTTGTGTTCCTGTTTTTCTAGTTGTTTGGCATGGGGTGTCCAGCACTGGAGCTTGCTGGTCGTTGAGTGGAGCTGGGTCTTAGCGTTGAGATGGAGCTCTCTGGGAGAGCTCTCACTGATTGATATTACATGGGGCCGGGAGATGTCTGGAGGTCCAATGTCCTGAACTCGGCTCTCCCACCTCAGAGGCTCAGGCCTGACACCCGACCAGAGCACCAAGATCCTGTCAGCCACACGACTGCTAGTGTTGGAGGGTGGCCTGCTGAGGCGTGGGGTGGCTGCGGCCCACAGCGGGGACAAACTCTTCTTTGTTTTTTATTAACATTCCTTCCTGTTGGTTTCTGTCTACTCCTCCTCTTTCATTTTTGTTTTTATTTTTTTACCCTCTTGACTATCATAGTATTGATCAATTTTTCTTTTTTCCATTTTCTTCCTCCAGAGGTCCAGAAGTGTTACATCCTAATACTGTTTTTGTAATAGTTGCTCTTACATTTTTACACATGAAACTAAACATATTTCTTTCTGCAGTCTCCCCAGAAACAAGAAGGAGCTTCAGTGTGCTGTCAAGCTCACCTTCCCCTTACTGTTCCTTGGCCAGTAAATGTCGTTGATCTTAGCTCTGCATTGTTGCTTACTTGATATTATGCATCAAGAGCTATTTAACCGTTTGTGTGCTTCTTTGATCACAAGTATGATCACCATCATTTTGTAGATTTATTTTTCATTTTGATGCTATTATCGAATCATTCTTTCAGAGCTGGTCAGTGTAGAGGAAATCCTGAGTCACTGCATGTCTAAATGGTCTTTACTTCCCCCCATAAGCTTGAATGCTGTTTTACTGAAGGAGGCATTCAGGGTTGGCAGAGGGGGAGGTCAGGAAGGGGGATGTGCTCGATCACCAGCTGGACCTATTTGGGAAAAAACTGCATTGTCCCATTGTCCCCATCAGTGAGAACTCTGATGCCAGTGGGATTTCTGTTCCTCTGTAGGTAAGCTGTTACCCTTTTTTTCTGAAAGCCTGTGCAGTGACCAGGTGGTCCCCAGCTCTGGTCTTCCCCGACTCACGGTGCCTGGTATTGCAGCATCCTTTCTTTCTTCGGGTTGATAACTATCCTCACTTGGTGGAATAGCTTTTGCTCTTTCTCCAGATGTTTAAGATCACAGGCTTTAGGCCAAACAGCCTGTGTTTGGATCTCTTCCACCGCTGTTTAGCTGTGTGACTTTAGACAAATTGCCTAACCTCTCTGCTCCTCAGTTTCCACATTTAAAAAGAGGGGCTATGGGCTTCCCTGGTGGCGCAGTGGTTGAGAGTCCGCCTGCCGATGCAGGGGACACGGGTTCGTGCCCCGGTCTGGGAAGATCCCACATGCTGCGGAGCGGCTAGGCCCGTGAGCCATGGCCGCTGAGCCTGCGCGTCCAGAGCCTGTGTCCCGCAACGGAAGAGGCCACAACAGTGAGAAGCCTGCGTACCGCAAAAAAAAAAAAAAAAAAAAAAAAAAGAGGGGCTAATTATAGTCCTTATCTCTTGGAGCAGTAGAGACCTGAATGAATTAATACATGCAAAACTTTTGAAAAGTGCCTGGCACATAGTAAGTGCTCAAAAATTCACTTTTTTCCCCCCACAGTCCTGTTCACTGAATCATTTCCATTTTTTCCATACTTAGTCTTTATTTTTCCTTCCATGATGTTGGTCTTTCCTTGAATATCTAATAATCCTTGGCTATTTTTGTGATGAAAAACTAGGTTAACTAGGTTAACAGGTGCGGAACTGCCATGTGTTTTTTCTGCGAGTATGTGGTGGTGTTTTCCCAAAATGTGTCCTCTGAACATGAAAGCTGACTGTCGTTACCTCCCACCTGCTTCTCCATGTTTTAGGGTTTGCTTTCTTTCTAGCTTCCCGGAATTGCTCACAAGTTCTGGTCCAATGATAACTCACTCTCCAACCTTCTGGTTCTCTTATGCCTACATTCTTTTTAAAGAGTTATTTTGTGTCATTAAAGGGGAGTAGGGTTGGCAGAGGGGAGACCTGCTCCATCAGTCCCTGATGGAGACCCTTTCCCACTCCTTCTCACCTCCCTCCCCTACAGCTCTTGGGCACATTTAGGATAAACTCCTGAATCCGGGCATGGCTTCTATGACATTCTTATATTCCCAGGTTTGGATCCGTGTATCTTTTCTTATTTTATTTAAAAAAAATTTTATTTTATATTGGAATATAGTTGATTCACAATGCTGTGTTAGTTTCAGGTGTACAGCAAAGTGATTCAGTTATACATATACATACATCTATTCTTTTTCAGATTCTTTTCCCATTTAGGTTATTACAGAATATTGAGTAGAGTTCCCTGTGACGCACCTCTCACCACCCTCCTCCCCTCATATGCTGTGCTTTAACAATATTGAATTTGCTTTATTTCTTCAACACAATATTCCACCTTCACATCTGGGCCCACACTTCCTCCTTCCTTTGGCCAATGACTGCTCTTTCTTTGCATCTCTGATCTCGTATCCTCATCAGTAAAATGAAGTCTTGGAATAAATTATCTTTAGGAGGCTTCTAGCTCTAAAAGTTTATCATTACAGGCAAATAAACCCTTTGATATCTGAACCCTTTGTTCTTACTTCCTCAGGATACTTAAGTGTCACACATTCTAAAGAAACATGCGGGATGCAAATCCTCATTGCTTACCTCCGTTTTCTATACAGCACCTCAGATTTGCAGAACTTCTCATTGCAGTCAAAGTACTTCTCATTAATATGTCGGCACAGCAGGTCAGTGTGGGGATGACCAAGAATGGAATCCCAGGGAATGCCCTGGTGGTCCAGTGGTTAGGACTCCGTGCTTTCACTGGTGAGGGTGCTGGCTCAATCCCTGGCTGGGGAGCTAAGATCACTCAAGCCACGTGGCACAGCCAAAAAAAAAAAAAAAAGAATAGTAGCCCAACTACCTCTTTAGTTTGGAGTCCTAATAAGGAAATGGTTGCTGACAGAGCCTAGCCAGTTTTCATCCATTAATTGAAGAAACTCAGATCCTGACCTTGAATCACAACATGTCTAATAGACATTTAAAGTTTTTCCTCCAGGGCCTCCCTGGTGGCGCAGTGGTTGAGAGTCCGCCTGCCGATGCAGGGGACATGGGTTCGTGCCCCGGTCGGGGAAGATCCCACATGCCGCGGAGTGGCTGGGCCCGTGAGCCACGGCCGCTGAGCCTGCACGTCTGGAGCCTGTGCTCCGCAACGGGAGAGGCCACAGCAGTGAGAGGCCCGCGTACCGCAAAAAAAACCCAAAAAATAAAAACAAAAAATTTTCCTCCAGACACCAGGAGCAGCATAGAAGAGCACGTGCAGTCCTGCTGATGATAGTTTACCCTCATGTAGCAACACAGAGAGCAGCCCTCTCTTCCCAGGCTGCGGCCAGGGTCAATTCCTACATCCTGCTGTAAGTGTCACTTCCCCAGGAAGACTCATAAAGTCATCTTGCGGTCTGCCTCTCCCGCCCCAACTTCTCAGCTTGTTTCTTCTGTTTCCCTCCTCCGGGAATGCCATGCTCTCTGGAGACTTAATACCATCCTAATCCCTATGTCATAAAAGACAAAACCTGTCAATAGATGCCGCAGCTGTGCTCTTGAGAAGGGAGGAAATTCACTTTAAATCACCCTCTCTGAAATAAAAAAATGCTAGTCCAGAAGGACATTATAAACAGTCTGGAAAGGTCTTCACCCAAGTCTCACGGGGAATGGTGATGTCACCTGGCTGCAGACGCTGCTGGTATTTTTCACACCGGGGAAGAGTTTCAGTCCTCACTAATATGAAATTCCACCAAATGGATATCCTGGAAAACCACCACGAACCCCAAGAACAACACAAGCCTGAGCTTACTGCCAGGCTGTCCGAGGAAATGCAATCTATCGACCACTTCATCTCCAAAAGCTGCAGGCACCGTGGGGCTTTCTCATCCGCGCTGGGACAGGTCTGAGAGTCAAAGGAGCTCTATTAACAACCACACCAGCCACCAGGTGCAAACAAGACTGCTGGGACCAAAGAAAGGCATCCTACCAGCGAGAAATGCATTGACTGCGGGGCGAAGTCTCGGCATAAATCACTCTTTTCCTGCATGTTGCAGTTCAAAGGACTGATCAATTCTCCCTGCTGTTAGAGAGGAACATTTATTCCCCACTCTTCAGCTTCCACGAGGAGGCGCTTAAGCAAGGCTTGCCCTCTCTGCCTCTCTTCCCTCTCCGCCCACCTCACTCAGCATTGATGCTCACCTCCTGGGAGCCTGCCTGCCTGCAAAGGGCATGAGGCTGGTCTTCTCTCTCTGCCCTGAAGTCGAGCCTGCCCAGTGGTGGCCGCCTGGAGATGTCGGGGCCGCTAGGGACCAAGGGCTTAAACCCTCAATCCAGGTGGGATATGTCAACAAGCCCTTTTGCCCACAAATCAAGAGGTACATTCTCCAACTGGCTTCATCAGTAATGAAGTGACTTCAGATCTCTACTTATCTGACTCCTGGGTCTCCTTCTCAATTGGTTCTGAACTTGGAAGGGGAAGCTGTGAGAATTACATTTTGACCCCTAAGACTCTCATCCTTGCTGTCTGCATAGCTGGCTGGAAACAGAGGCTGATGAGAGTCTCAGGGATGTATAAGAAAGAAGACAAGCAAGAAATTAAGCTGGCAAACATCTCTCATCTTTGATGGTATAAAAAAAAATACTCCATGGTTTACTTCAAAAGAAACTTGGATATAAAGTTTCTTTAAGGATTTAGCATCATACTAATTTTTACACACACACACAATCTAGAAAAGATTCAGGCATAGGAACTTTTCTTTTTAACGATGCTCCTCTTTAAGGATAGAAAACACAGCAAGAGCTGTGGAAAGACTATGTAAATATCTTACGGTATTTCTAGATGGTGGGAGATTCCAGAAACACTGATCCAGAGACACACCATCACAGAGACTGTGAGGATACCTGTATTGCACGGACACTCACACACACGTGCGCGCGCGCGCACACACACACACACACACACACATTATTCCAAATGTCTCAAAAACCAATGATGAAGCTTCTCTTATTTTACTTTATTTCTAATGTGAACAATGGCTGAAGTCAGAAATAGACTCGGAAAGGAAACCTCCTAACCAGCAGTTCCCAAGAAAAGAGCATCGTTACTGGAGTCCAGACTAGTTGTTTTTCTACATCATGTCACAGGGTGCAATAATTTTCAAAGTCTGGTACTCCTAACTAAATGTCGGCTCTCTTGTTGATGGGCCTGGAAAAAAAAATACTACTTTAAATTGCTACAGCGCACCAACCACCTTTTAAAACTACTCATTATTGCTAGACAAATAATTCCACCAAATAAACTATTTCGCTTCAGCGTAACGTTGCTTCCAAGGATACAAGTGAAATATAAACTACTTTTGTGAGATTTGCTTTGGATTATTCTAACGCTATCTTTTGCTTTATGATTTCTTCGAGTTGAGAAAGGCAAATTAATTAGCAGCTGTTTGAATTAAGAAGACTCTTCATTTTTCCTGATAAGTTAGGGCAGTTGTAACGTTAATATTTTGACCTGCCTGCTGTCCCACCGATAAGGATGGTAATTGGCTTTTAGACAGGATCGGCTGGCATTAGATGTCACTGCACACTTTCACCCAAGTGCTCAAGTAAACTGAGTGTTCAGAGAGCTGTAGATGCTAGCTTATATAAATCCACCAATAAGTTTACACTTTTCAAATGTAACAAAGGTGGGAAGAGGAAGTCAGTGCACTAAGACATTACTCCAGATTTAGATTTGTGCAATTCTGGGGTACGTATCTTCCTGAATCTTTATGCTTCTGCTAAAACATTCACCCCTGTTGGTCTAATTATAGCCCCAGAGGAAAATGGAGCACATGCAGTGAGTGGAGTGCAAATACTGAAAAATCACCTGCGTGGAGAGAAACGGGCACATTTGGCTTTCTGCCAACTTCATCACTGAGCGAAAACCATGTACTTTTCACTGAGCAAGGTTTGCAGATGTTGCCATCAGCAAAACACATTTTGATTGCATCCTGAGTAATCTCCCATGATAGAAAAAAATTTCCACCTCAATTTAGAATTTTTGTCTCACAAAATACTAAAACTTTGTCCAGAGGTAAAATGCTCAACCCTAAATTAATTAGCGAGGAAAAGTGTAGGATAGAGGGGAGAGTTTCTACACACTTCCATATCACCCTCCTGGAAATGTGAAGGACAGGACATTTGGAAACCCCCAGCGTGAACCAAGTACTGTCTCTGGGGGGTCTGGGGGCTTTCCAAACCACAACAAAATAAAACATCTGAATCAGGAGGGAGGAAACCCACTAGCAGGTCTCCTGACTCTTGGTCCAAAATGAGTCATATCTGCAATCCCATGCACACAGCACTAGAGCTTATTCAGCAGACTTGCCCACACCGATCAGCGCTCATATACACGCCATTTACTGGATAGAGATGCAGACTAAGGCCCCATGGATGTCAGAGCTCCCCAGTCATGCTCCATAAGCTGAACAATTATCCTAGAAGCACGTCAGACCAGGCCCTCCAGCTGCATGAGGGCAAAGAACCCAGCTCTCATCAACGTCTTTCTCTGTGACTATACGATGAAGTTCAGGAACACACAGACCAGATCTTATTTACACTCACATGTCCCCACATGCTGAGGAGGCCCTGGCACATAACACACAGTGGTTCCCATGACCAGGTTCTGCTTTTTTCTACTTTTTTATGAATGTCTTTTTAAAAAATTAATCAATCTTTTTTTTTTGAGGTGGTTACATTTTTAAAATACTTTTTATTGGAGTACGGCTGATTTACAATGTTGTGTTAGTTTCAGGTGTACAGCAAAGTGAATCAGTTATATGTATACATATATCCACTCTCTGTTTCTTTAGATTCTCTTCCCATATAGGTCCTTACAGAGTACTGAGTAGAGTCCCCTGTGCTATACAGTAGGTTCTTCTTAGTTATCTATTTTATATATAGTAGTGTGTATATGTCAATCCCAATCTCCCAATTTATCCCTCCCCCTGCTATCCCCTGGTCACCGTAAGTTTGTTTTCTACATCTGTGACTCTGCTTCTGTTTTGTAAATAAGTTCATTTGTATCCTTTTTTAAAATTCTACTTATAAGTGATATCATATGATATTTGTCTTTCTGTGTCTGACTTACTTAAATTAATCGATCTTAAAAGAGATCATATGCTTCCTGAACTTGAACTTCCTGGCAATTGACCCCAGGACTTCTGAAGATTTGCCCCTTAGATATTAGTCCTACTGAACAACCCAAGGTACTCTTCACAAATAACTTTTCAAACCACAGGTTATGTCCCCACTTTGATGGTTTGAGCTGAGTCCAGGTGCCTCTGCTGGAGGGTTGCTTCTCCCACAAGGACAGACCCACCGGAATCACCTCCTCAAGTTTGGCCTCCAACCCCAATGCCTTTGTCAGAGAAATGAGCAGTCTCTCTTAGTGTTTTCTTCCCATTCTCCCTTGTCATTTGCCAAATCACACCGCTTTCTAATTCACAAGCCCTGAAAATCTCACATCCATGCAAGGACCCTAACTGGTTAGGTGAGTTGAGAATAACCACAATTCCCATCAATGTACTGACCTGATCTACCCTTTCCTCTCCTTCCCATTCCTGCTAAGAATTCCAAATAAAAGCAGGAAGGGAGGGGGAGAGAGAGAAAGAGAGAGGGAGGGAAGAAGGAAAGGAAAGAAAAGGAGCAGAGAAGAGAGAAAAGGTCCAGAAAAAGTGACTGGTGTCAGCTCCACATGTACCCAGGCCAAGGCGTGCCCTGAGACATCTGGTTAGACTCCTACTCCAACACCCAACCAAGGGGCAGGAGCCGCCAATCGGTGCATCACTGGGTCTTTTCTGTACTTAGATGCACTATTCTCCACCCATAGCTTTGTTACTTAATTCTCTTCTTTGGAAATTATCAGCAAATCAAAAAAGACAGTTCTACAAAGGAGCAATGAGGCTGCCAACAAGAGTAAACGTCAGCACAGTGGTGAGTCCCTAACAAAGACAGAGACCGTCTGTCAAGTCAGCCATTCTACTAGGAGTACAAGTGACAGTGGAGAAATAATCTACCTGGGGGTGTACGCCTCCTCTCCCCCCATTGTTTGTTATGTGTTCTGGGACCCTGGATAAGGTACGTGGTTTTGCTTTCTTGGTTATAACCATGTCCAGTGGAGTTTGGATTGCCTACCTTTCTGGAAAAGGAGGTACAGTGCAGTGACCTTAGTGAATAGGGCTGGGATTAGGGCTCTAAGGAAAACCCTGGCTCACCAAATGCAGAATCTATTACTTTTAAATTGCCACGACATCTAAACAACTGCATATGTCATGGAAAGATCCAGTGGACCTGTAGATCAATGTAATCAGTGAGTTCAGCTTTTAAATACATTAATTATTTATATGGCAACTTGTCCCCAGTGATGCATTAGATTAGGTCCTAAGTGATACAGACAGACTAACAATAGGAATTGTCTGTACATCATGTAATCAGTGAGTTCCCTGGTCCTGGTATCAAG